CATCTCAGATCACCCATTCTAGGATAGCAAAGTGGACTGTGGCTCTCTAGCTAGCACCAACATATTTAACAAAAATACCTAAAGGGAGCCTGAGCATCAGCTAAGCTGTTCCTGGTATGTTTTAGGAAGGCTTCTTTGCCTTTTAAAAAGAGTAAGGTGAAAAGCAAAGAAATTAATTAGCAGCTTCCTTGGGGGGTTGGGGGGAGACAACCTAGGAATAGCATAGCAAATGAAAATTTGAAATGGGAAAGCCAAGCTGTGTAGCCTAAGAAGTCAGATACAATTTCAGCTTGGCATAAATGGGATTCAGGTAAAAGAATATTTTAAGAGACTATAATATAATAAACACTGGTTTTGACACACAAACTGAATTAAGTAAACTCTTGGTATTATATATAATTTTACACTTCAACTTGGCAGTTATCGTTTCTACCAGTTTAATAAAAAAAAATTAAGGCAAAAAAAAAGATTAGGGTAAATACACAATATCACAATTCCTTTTTCTAGGTATCTGATAATCTCAAAATTACCTTTTTCTTACATCATACCTACAGCTAAACAAACTATTATCTCAAAGTCTCACCAGGGCCAGTAAAATAGCTTCCCAGGTATAAAGTCACTTGCTGCAAAGCCTAAACTGGATAGTTGAGATCCACTTATGGAAGGAAAGACCCAATTTCCAAAAGCTAGCCTCTGACATCCACATGAACGTGTGTGTGTTGCATGGGCACACACATGTATATATGTATATACACAGTCTTCAATGTTTTCATTATAAATGACAACACATGTATGTATGTACACACACACACACGGTCTTCAAGGTTTTCATTATAAGTGTAATTCCTTTAACTGAGGAGGCAGAAACAAGAGGATCATCACAACTTTAAGACCAGTCTGAACTGTACAGCCAATTCCAGGCCAGCAAAATAGGTCAAACACTGATAGTGAGATGTCATTTCACGAACACAAAAAATCAAGACAATATGGTCAAAAAACAGGACCATCTGACTTGTATTCAAGTATCTCTCATTTATCCCATCCTTCAGTCTTTCTCCTTAAATGATTTTCCTGTCTGCTGTGCATCCATCCCACCAGCACCTTTAAAACAAAACCTATGTAGTAATTTCAGGCCAAAACCACAGAGAAAGTAAAGCCTAACAAATATGTAGATCCACATTTGTAAAACTATGGTTATAGCCAAACTTTAATTTGTAACCAAGCAAAGTCCAAATAGCTATTAACAAGTAGCAAAACTAAACAGCAGCTTCTCTTAGCTTCTCCAACCTCTGGTGAACCAAAGTGTAGGGGAAAATGTTCAAGTATAATGAATAAAAATGGTACCAAGAAGATAGCTGGTAAAGCAGAGCACTCAAGAGTATAGACCCCACTGGGTAGAGCTAGCATAAATGAGTTTAAAGCAGATTAAGGGTGGGCATGGGGGTAGGGAGCCAGGATACACTTTTAATCCCAGCACTGGGAAGGCAGAGACAGATCTCTGTGAGTTTCAGGACAGCCTCCAAAGCTTCAGAGAAACCCTGTCTTGAAAACAAAACAAAACAAAATAGAATGCAGGCTTTCCCGATGGTGGACTGAACACTTTTAAATCCAGAACTCGGATCTTTGTAAATTCAAGGCTAACCTGGTCTACAGACTCCAAAGCTATAGAAAAACGGTGTCTGGAAAAATGGGGGAAAAAAAATAGAGCACAGATTTGGCTGAAAAATAGAGCTTGTCTAGCATGAAAGAGACTCATCCCCAAAACATAAAAAAGAGGCAGGGATCTTAAGAATATGAGCACAGTCAGATCACTTGGATCTCTGTTCCAGCCTCAATTTTCCTAAATATTAATTTCCTTACTTACACCTCTGTATTTATACTACTTTCCTCACAGTGTTAAGAATGAGTATCATTCCCAGCACTCAGGAGGCAGACGCGGGTGGATCCCTATGAGCTAGAGGCCAGCCTGGCCTACAGAGTGAGTTTCAAGACAGCCAAGGCTACACAGAGAAACCCAGTCTCAAAAAAGCAAAAAAAAAAAAAAATCACCTAAAATTATACAGCAGACACATCATAATCTGTAACTGTAATTATTAAAACATGAATAATAGAAACTGGAAGAGCGGGGTGGGGGAGAATTGATCCTAGCAATGTTCTAATTCCTAACAACTGATTCTATAAAGTTCAATGTCCACAAGTAAAATATTGGAAAACTGTCAAAATCAGATGGGATGGCAGACTGCTTGCTTGAGCTTGCACAAAACCATAGGTTCAAACCTGCGGGAGTAGAGGTGCATACTTGTGATTGCAGCCCTGGAAGATGCAGAAAGGCAATCCATCAGAAGTCTGAAGTCACTTTTGGCTTTGAAACTACCCTGGACTACATGGGGCTTGAGAAATGGCTCAGGGCTAAGAGCTGCTCTTCCAGAGGACCTCATTTGATTTCCAGCACCCATTTCAGATTGGCTCACAACTGCCTGTAATTCTGGGGGATGACATCCTCTTCTGGCCTTGACTAGCACTGACACACTTTACAATTTTTGAAGTGTGTACACCTGAACTTTTTTGTTTTGTTTTTGGGGGTCTCATTTTGTTTTTTGTTTGTTTTGTTTGTTTGAGGCAGGTTTCTCTAACAGCCCTAGCTGCCCCAGAACTCGCTCTGTAAACCAGGTTTGTCTCTGCCTAATAAGTGCTAGAATTAAAGGCCCTGTTTCTGTTTTTCTGTTTTTCATGACTAGGTTTCTATGTGTAGTCCTGGCTGGAAATCAGCTCTGTATAATCTGGTAGCCTTGAACTCAAGAGATCACCTGCCTTGGCTAGGATTAAAGGGGTGCACTACCAAGCTCAGCCTCAGTTACATCAGTTGTTGACCAATTCCTGTAAACAAAGTTCACAATACACCACCACCACCAAGGAGTCAAGTGTCCAAAGCTGGTTACTGAAGTAATTTACCCTGATATTGTTGCTTGGAAATACTGGAAATTTCAAGATCACAAAAAAAAAGCACATGTGGTTTTCTATGAATAAAAGTCAGGTGACTATCAATTTAATTTCTGCTGGGGTTTTTTGTTTGTTTGTCTGTTTTGTCCCCACCCACCTAGTACTTTCAGGTTGACTGGTCTGAAACTGATGATGTAGACCAAACCTACCTCTGCCTCCTGAATGCTGGGGTAAAAAAGGCTCACACCACCACATAGGACCAAGTTCAATTACATGTACATACATTTATACAAAAATAAAAATTTCAAAAGCCAATAAATAGGTATGCATGGAATACAGATTTTCGGATCCCAAGTGATTAAGTGGATGTTCTCATCAATTTATTAAAATACTGCACAAAAGGCCTGGTATGGCAGCACACAGGCGAACTTCAGCACTGAGATTTAAGTCAGGAAGACCTCAAGTTCCAGGCAACCCTCAATAATTAAGTTCCTCAGTACTTCTGTTTTAATTTTTAAAAATTACTAAGATCTTCTAACACAGAAAACATATAATCCAGTTTGTTAGAACATGGGGAATTGAACTTTAACCCCAACTTCAGAGCAGAAAGTAAAATGTTAAAGATGAATATCCAAATACCAACATCATTTAGTCTACTGCTTCTTCCTTTTTTTCTTCTTCTTTTTGGAGACAGGGTTTCTTTGTGTAGCCCTGGCTGTTCTAGAACTAGCTCTGTAGATCAGGTTGGCCTCAAACACTAAGTTTCTCTGCCTCTGAGCACTAGAGTAAAGGCGTACTTCACCAATGGCCAGCTAGACTCCTGTTTTTTTGTTTTTTTTTTTTTTTTTTTTTTTTTTGTTTTGTTTTGTTTTGTTTTTTGCTTTAAAGGAACTAACAGAACTCAACAGGTAAGGGGAGAAAACTGCTTAGAAATAAACAACTTACTAAGGTTAGCAAATCTTTGGAAGTGTGTTAAAAAATTACAGTCTTCTACCTCAGAACAGGTTATTAGGTGAAATAAATTAAATGCAGCCATATTAATCATTTACTAATTGTGTGACTACACTTAAGTGAATCTTTTAAAAAATACTCCAGAATGCCAACACACTGAAAAATGTATGTGATAACAGCAAATAAAAACCATTCAGCCCTAAAACAATTCAGTTATCACTAAAAATTCTTACACTTGTTAGCAGAATTAAACTATGAACTTAAGCCAGCACAACATTCCTGGGGGGGAGGGGGGGCTATGTAATCATTATACTAGTTTAAAGGTTTTTACATCAACTTGCTCAGTTTCTCTGCTTCCTTCTCAAAAATGTTTAGGAAACTGAAGAGTGTGAAATATAAATTGGTTCAATAAATTGTTTCAAAAACTTAATGTAGCTAGGAGTTGGTGGCACATGCCTTAAGTCCCAGCACAGAAGGCGGATCTCTGTGAGTTCAAGGCCAGCCTGATCTACAGAGTGAGTTCCAGGACAGGCTCCAAAGCAATATAGAGAAAACCTGTCTCAGAAAAAAAAAAAGTAAACCTTAATGTCTGTAGTGGGTTAAAATATTAGGAATAGTTGTGCCTTAAAGAAAATATTTCCTAAGATATCAAACCTGCTGCATGATTTTATTTTATGTCTACTACTCTAAACTAGATCACTCAACTGTATGTGTAGTAATGGTCTAAACTCACATTTAGGAATTAAACTAGGAATCAAGAGAAGACATTTAAAATGTAAAACCAACCAGATACGTGACATGTGTATGTCTTTTTCTAGGTTTCTACTATTCTGTTATTCATACTCTAAAGTGAATACTGACCACATGCATCTGCCTTTAAGAACACAAAAACTTTTGACTTAAAACTAGTAAGTCTGAAACATTTGTAAGCCTTAGATCCATTTACTACATATATATAGCTAATGACTATTTTCAAACTACCCACAAACTGAATCTAAAGCAAAATCTTTTCAAGATACTGAAAGGTTTCTAAGAATAACACAGATCAATTTGACTCATATTACAGTTTACAACTGAATATCTAATATGCTCACCATAAGAGTACTTACAAACTCCAAGAGGACTGCACAGGAAGGCGTTGGCTTTTTCTCTATAAGCTTTATGTTTTCCAGTTTGTTTTTTTATTTTGTATCCTCTGAAATATCCAAGTTCTTTGAAGATACTTAACCTATGACTATTTGACATAGAGTTATTTGAAGTCAGCTACCCATATTTGTTTTGAAGTTTTCATATGGCTATATCCAGAATTAGCCAAGTTCCTTGGATTCAAGAGCAAGGTCTTCTTTACTATTCCATGTATTTGTCACTGTATTTATCCACTCCAGATGAAATATCCAATTTATGTGCAAAAAGCAGAAACAAAAAGAAAATTTCACATCTGAAGACTACTTCTAAACATCAGCATGTACAGAGACACAAAGAGCTATCTCAATACTACCATGCTGGTGTGAAACTGGAGCATCTTACATTCCCAAGTAAATAAAAGATAAAAAGAAAAAAACTGTATTCTTTCAATGTCTTCATTTAGAAAAGCTGTCCCATGGTAATATGAAAAGAGCTGAAGTGAAAAATTCCTAAAACTTTCAATACAGGTAAAAAGAACTGCCACGAAACTTCAGCAATATTCAACAGTAATTTCAAACTACTCAGTACACAAACATATCTTACAGTTTTGGCTGAAAAACACCAACAGGAAAGGGGGGAAGAGACAAAAATAACACCAGATGAAATACTTTAACCACTTATATAATCCGTTTGAACCAAAATACTGAAGAAATGACTGGGTCTTTTAGTAGCTCGTTGAATTTGTTCACTACTATCAATTCACTTCAGAGATGATTCTTGTCAATTTTAATAAACTTCTGGGGCAAAATTTCACCCCCCAAGGAAAAAAAAAAACAACAAAACTGTAATTCCAAAATGGCCTCTTGAAATACCCGGGGCCTTTTAAACAAAACCTAGAAGATGATCTTCATATCTGTATAATTCAATCACCTGTAAAAGTTATGAAAAAAAGGTAAATTACAATTTTGATTTTTCAAATAAAAATCAACCCCCACTTCGGGAAAAAAAAAAAATCAACCTGTCTCGAACTCATGTCTGTACAGCCTTTTCCTAACCCTAGGCAAAAGCCTCCTGAATGAGGACTTCCAAGTCCAGGGGCAGAGAACGGTGGGCGGCGGAACCACTGAGCGAAGTTCCGACCTGAACTGGGAACCGGGTGCAGGCAGAGCACCGGAGGCTGTTACGAGCAAAACTTCAACAAAACTTTCTGAGCAAAAGCCGAAACCGTGCGTGAGAGTGGCTCAGCACCTTGCAACCGATCTCCCCCGACGCCACCCCATGCGCCCAAGGAAAACAAACGGACAGGTGGTGCTGCCGCGGAGCGTTGGTAAACGTAACTCCGAGAACGAGGCGGAAAGAGCACGACGCTCCCTCCAAGCCCGCAGCGGGCACCTGGGTCTCCCGTGCGGCCGGGCCGGGCCGGGCCGGGCCGGGCCGCACGGTGGGAGGGGATCGGCCCGAGGGGCGGCTGCCCAGCCCGGAGCGCAGCCGCGGGGCGAGGGTGCGAAGCCCCATCTCCTCCCACCAAACTCCGGGCGCGGGGGGCCGGGCGCGCTCGGACGGCCGCGCGGCGGGGACGGCGCCGTCCCCGGGGGAAGCAGGGAGCCGCCAGCACGGGCCCCGTCGGAGCGGAGCCCGCGGGCCCTCGGGGCGCTTGCCTGGCTGGGGAGCAACCGCCAGGGCTCCGGGCGCGGCCGGCGGGCGGGCGTGGGGCAGCGGCAGGCCCAGCTCGGCCGCGACTCGCCCGGCCCGGCTCCCCCGGCTGCCCCGGCCCCGGGCCCGGGCTCCAGGCCGGCTCTGCGGCGCCGGGGACGCGCGCGCCCGGGGCCCGAGGCAGCCGGACGCCGCTGCCGCTGCCGCTGCCGGCCGGGCCCCCCCGCGGCCCGCGCCCGCCCGCCCGCCCGCCCGCCTCTCCCCGCCGCCGCCCGCCCGCTCGCTCCCTCCGCCGGGCCGGGCCGGGCCGGGCGGACGCCGAGGGCGGGCGGGCGGCCCCGCGCCCCACGCCGCCCCCGGCCGCCCGCAGCCCCGCAGCCCCGCGCCCCCAACGCCGCTCCGGGCGCCCCCCCGCCCCGGGACTGCGCTGCGGGGCCCGCGGGGCCGCGTTACCTTCCGCCCCGGCAGAGGTGCCCCTGGCCTGGGGTGCCGCCGCGCTCGGTCCCGGGAGGAGGGTTCCGGTACTTTGAATAATCCCCGTTTGCCGCTTTTCCCTCCCCCACAGCCCGTCTCAGGCCCAAAATGGCGCCGGCCCGATCCGCAATGTTCTGGGCCGAGTCTCGCGAGATCGTGGGAGGTGGCGAGGCGGGGCGGGGAGCGGAGCCGCGGAGAAGTGAGAGGAGGGAGGCGGGCGGGGCCGAGGGCGGGGGCAGGAGGGAGGAGGAGGAGGAAGAAAGGGCGTGGAAGGAGCCGTGCAGGCCAACGCGCTGGGCGGGGCGGCAGGAGGAGGGGCCTCCGCTACACACACAGCCCTTCGGGCCCGAGTAACCGCTCACGCCCCGGCCGAGGAAGCCCCGCCCCCTACGTCGGGCGCCTGGGGGAGGGGAGGGGCGTGGCCAGCGCGCGGGGGCGGGGCCCCGAGGAAGACCCGGAGGCCGGGCCGCGCGCGCGGGGGCGGGGCGGGGCGGGGCCTGGGCGCGGTGACGTCAGCGGCGGCTGGAGCCGGGGATTACCCCCTGCTGCTGACGTGAGGACGGCGAACAATCCCGAACGTTCGGGGAAGCGGGGATTCCCGGCCGTTCCCGCGGCGGCGCCCCTCTCCAGCCCCGAGCCCTGCACGCTGGGAGCGCCGGGCACGCGCGGGAGCGGGCGGCGGGGAGCGGGCGGGCGGCCCTGCCTCGCGGGACGGCGGGGCGGCCAGCGTCGCCCGCCCGGCACGGGCTCGCCCGTCGGGCCGCACGGGCGCTCACGCGGCGTGGGCGGAGCCGGCCCTGCCAGCGCCCTCGGGATTGGGCGCCGCGGTCGCGTGCCGCGCGGAGCGTGCCGGACGTTAGCGAGGGCGACCGGGCGCTGCGGGCAGGCGCGGCTGCAGCCGCAGGGTCGTCCCGGGGATCCGCACGGCACACGTCAGTAAATGGATAGATGGATGGACAGACTCCAAAGCCATAGAGAAACCGTGTCTCCACAAAGAAAGAAAGAGGATGGGAGTAGCAAACGTCAATGGTGTCCCGCTCCCCAGACGTGGTAACTGCGGGTTCGCTTTGAGAAAGGGGAAGAAGCGAGGGGAAATGCATACTTAGGAATGTGCCCCTACCTTCACCCGAGCCACGCAGAAACTAAGTCTTCGTATGCATGATGGGGCTTGTAGTTTGGTGCGGCGCTCCCAAAAGTCCGCCGAAGAACCGCTGCAGTGTATGTCCCTGTGTGCACAGGGGAAGGATTTTAAACTTACCGAGTTCTTTTAGTCTTGTACCGATGCCTAAGGTGTGCTTCCCTGGTTTTTCACATAAGCATTCCAAACTAATCTCTGGACTTTGGCTGCTCAACCTGACTACCAAGTTTAAACTTCAGTTTGTTTGGGGTGGGTTTGATAGGGCCGGGCGGGGTTGCAGGGAGGCAAGAATCCTTGTTGCTCTGTCTTACCTCAAAGGAATTAGGTACCTGAGGATAACCGAACTCCTGATCCCCCCTGCCTCTGCTTCCCAGATACGGGGATCACATTCATGCCCTACCACGCCAGCCCTGTCCAGGTCTCAATCCAAACTCTTTTCCTCCACACCGGTCTTGTGTGGGCAAAAGTAATGTATACATTGAAGGAGAACTTGGTTTGCTTTTGATTTTGGGGCTAGGAACTCACTATGTAACCCAGGCAGGCCTGGAATTCTTATCCCTTCAAAGCCACAACACCTGGTTTTATGTTCCTGGTTCTGGACAGAATAGGAAAAGGTGGAAATTATAGGGCCATGAGAAGGAAAAGGAAACCCTCTCATTCACTGAGAGCCAAGAATTCAGTGCAAGGATCAGCGTCTGCCTTGGAGGTTATCGTTTTATAGAAAACTATCCCAAGAAAGTTGAAGTGTTCTGGAGTCAGCAGGGCGATGATGGCATATGCCTTTAATTCTGACGCTGGGGAGCTGGGGGCCAACCTGGTCTACAGAGTGAGTTCCAGGACAGCCAGGGCTACACAGAGAAACCCGGTTTCCAAAAACCAAAAATGAAAACTATCCTGGAGTCACGGGTCACACCTGCCCACACAGCACTTTGTAAGCAGAGTTCCAAGCTAGCCTGGTGAAGAGTGAAATCCCAGGCCTGCCAGGGCGACAAAGGAGCCACTGCCTCAGAAGAAGAAAGCTAAAATAAGGATGTGAACGTGAAAGGACTCTGCTCTTACCTTGAGTGTGGTCTTAATCCTTTCCCAGACACTTCCTAAAATTGAAACAAAGCTTACTGTTTTGTTTACAGTGATAACACCCTACTTTCCTTAGAACTCTAGTGACTTGGGGTTTTAACTGTAACCGCCCAGAGCATCTCAAGAACCACTCAGTGGACTGGGCAGTGGTGATGCACGCCTTTAATCCCAGGCAGATCTCTGAGTTCAAGGCCAACCTGGTGAGTTCCAGGCCAGCATGATCTACAGAGCAAATTCCAGGACAGCCTCCAAAGCAATACAGAGAAACCCTGTCTCGAAAAACAATAAAAAAGAACCACTCTGATCTCATTTAAATTCCTTAGCAAGTCTTTAAGCTTAACCTCAAAACACACCAAAGTTTTACCTAGAGACCCCGTAAAGACAATGAAATGTGACCACCTTTGAGGCCACGCCAATGCTCCAAGGTGTGTTTTTCTTTCACTGAGCACTCTCTTTTTACCCACCCCTGTGAGCAAATCTAAAACAAAGAAAAAATAAGTAAAAGTATACTAACTCCACTTCATTAGCTTATCCTGAAATTCTGGAGAGAAGCAGAAGTGCCAGTTTTACCCAAACCCTGCCGACAGCTACGCAGGCTGTGTCTTGGTCAGCTTGAGCTGCAGCACAGGCAGAAGCAAGATTAATCTATAAATGAGCATAGCATTATACCATCTGAGGGGAGAGAACCTGCATTTCTGTAACCAAGCTCTCTACAAGAAATTTTAATTAGTTCTTTCAGTAACTTTATAGATATTAGCCACATGCATCAACTAATATAGCCCAAGATTGTATTAGCCCAAGTATACAATGCTGTGTAGGCTATGATATATTTTCCCCCAACTTCCAGGTATGAGTGGAAACTAAGAAATTGAAATGTCCACCCACTGAGAACTGGTTTTAAAACTAAAAAATGTGCATCTGCACTTGCCCAGCACATCCAAGACCTGGGTACCGACACTCTTAAGGACCACAAGATGTGTTTGTTTTTCCTCTAGTCACAGGTTTAAAAGGCACAAATTTGGAAGTCAAGCAAAACCAAACTTTATTCAGAGAGGACAATTTTATTAGGGTTTAAAGAAAGACCTCCAGGAAAGTAAACTTTAATCTCTGCAGCCCCTGGAGGAAAATGGAACTACTAAGGAAAAAAAAATGCATACTTTTTCAATGAAGCCAGCATGGAGCTCAAACACACGGTGAAGAGGAAACTCCAGAGAAAGAGTAAGAAAGCTCCAAGAACCAGAAAGGACATGGCTCACAGGAAGAGATCTAGGGGGTAGGGATTCTGGGAAGTAAAGGGCAGTATCTCATTAAAGCAGTAAGTAACCTGCCTATGTCTTCAGCGTGATTTAAATTGAGCCCATCCTTACTCCCCAGTGACTGCCTAGCTGAAGTAACAAATGTGGTTTGAGTAATTTAAAATGCTAGGTCTCCAACGAGGCCAGAGATTCCTTATCAAATCCTTTCTTTTTTCATTGTTTTGTTTGTTTTTCTTTTTTGTTTGTTTGTTTTGGTTTTTGAGGCAGAGTTTCTTTGTGGCCCTGGCTGTCCTGGAACTAGCTTTGAAAACCACGCTAGTCTCAAATTCATAGAGATCGGACTGCCTCTGC